ATCGTGTTATCCACTTAGCTACTGAGTCCTGATACGCACAGTATGCATATATGCCAATAAGAGACTGATCAATTTCAGTCCTAAATCATCAATGGGAAGATTCAAGTAAAACAGTATCAAGTGAATTTAAATCGTTCATTGTTTACATTTTTGGAGGTCATGACAGTTTCTGGTAATTAGAGGTCAACAGTTATGACCTGAATTTATATACTAGTTACTGAAAGTTCATGAATATTATACATCAATTGTAAAACTTCTTTGACAAAATTTCATCATAACTAGTCTTGACGTTCTAAATCTTAGTTACTATTTTGGGTATTAATGAATTCCAACTCAGTAGGGAATATTAAATAGTATACATTTGTATTATTTTTCCCATTTTTTAGTTCGCCGTATTTTATATATGTGCATAAATATGATTGTATGTTAAAAACGGGTCTAATGAAGATCAACTTGAAAGCTAAACTATAAATATAACATCTTCATCTAACTTGAAATTTCTAGTATTTTGAGCATCATATAATAAACATAATTTTTGGAAATTATCAGTCTGATATTTATTATATACCTAACTATAAGAAATCAATGCGCTTGTCTACAGGATATTTCTACAGGTGAATACTGTTCAAAACTTATCATCTAACCATAAGAAAAATTCATTCCACTTGGTATTCCTTTAATAAAATATATTTGCTCATCTAGAGTAGACTGTTTTAGGGCTAGTGATATAACTAAGAAGATAACTTCTAACTGAAGTGAGAGCTGTTAATGTTGTCCAGAAGAAAAATGGAAACTCCACAATTAGACCATCTAGCTCAGAGTATTGAACAACATTGAAATCTGAAGTCTGTACTGACATTACTGTAGTATTTGAATAGATTACTGATTTATCTATGAGTATCATTCGAGATATAAGGTGGTGGTTAGAAGTAGTTGACAGGAAACTCTAGACCTAGGTTTCGTGTTACTTGGTGCTCGTCAACAAAGCGTACTTGTAATCTTGAGGTATCTGATGTTACCTGGAGGATCTGATTCCGTGTCGTCCAGCTTCACAGTCAGAGACATTACCATGATCAATAGAATTCGATCAGCAGTAAGATGGACTTTACGTACATGACATATATCCCTGCTCAGTGAACAGTCAATTGTGAGTGTCATTCTTTAATGTAGATATACAGACTGCTGTGTTAATAAGATATTAAGTTAAGAAAAATATTCTGCGACTCATTATTTGTCTTTTCTTACGGATTTAGCAGAATAACTTGTATGAATATGAATGATAATATCTATATATAGAATCTTAGATAATTGATCATGCAACTCAGTTGTTACATTAAACACGTAAAGTATTTAGATAAATTTGACAGATGCTCATATTAATTGTTTTGTATTATAAAATATTAGACAGATGGTGAAATATTATATACTGTGATTCCCAATCATTATTGTCTCTCGTTTGGTTACATGGAAGTCTCAATAGTTATATTCGAATAGGTCTTAAGTACCCCTTACATTTTAAACCCTAATGCTACGACGATTTAGTTTGTATTACTGCTAGCAGATACTTTTCTACTTTAAGATTTATTAGTTTTTGCTTGTTTAGCTTCTCTCATCCTCTAATTACATCATTCTAACGACGAGTATTATTAAATTTTCCCGCTAAATAATTTGTTTCATGAGCATATGGCCTTTGAATATTGTCCTGTTTAATCAGATCTGAAACCGAAAAGATTTGCAAATGACAGAAAAGACTGTTTAATCATTAGTATTTTTATTTCATAGAACAAATAAGCCAAACTTCAAATTTTTAAATGATTTCTAATTCAAACCAGCTGAGAACAATATTCTTGGGTGATTGGAGGCGATCCTCAAGAAGCTTAGCATCGAAACATAGTATATGAAATGTCAAGTAACTTAAGCTTGTGTCCACTTCGATAAAACTTAACCAGCACCAAGAAAATACAAAACAACAAAACACAACATTCAACCAATAGGAGTACAGAAATCAATTAGTCAACCAGCTATAACGTGGGACCAGGCACATATATGTATCGGTTCATGTTGCCATACCACATCAGCACAGCAAAATGAACACCAAATTCATAGAAGTAGTTACTTCAATGGTAATAATATATAAAAGATTGTGTATAAGGATATAGTTCAGGAACAAAGAATTAGAAAGAAAGGTATAGAGTAATTTTAATCTCACGATTTAAGGGAAGACAAAGAGTGTATACACCTACACCATTGTGATCGATTCTCAGCCATTTCACTCAGAGTCTCCAATCATTGGTTAAGATAGTCACACGGACACCAACCAAGTGGTCTGCATCTACCAAAATGACTCAGACCGAAAATTAATGACTTTATGGATTGATGTCATGTTTTGGTTTGGCCGCCCCTAACATTCTTCCATCCGTCTTCAACACTAGTCAGCATTGCGCGTCGTGGTAGTCGGTGGGTTGGCATGCGTTATACGTGGCTCAACCATCTCAGTCGATGAAGATTTACAACCTCATCAACTGATTTGCCATCACTCCCTAATACCTTGCGTCTAACCTCACTATTACTTACCCGGTGATCCCAGTAGATGCGAGCAATGTTTCTAAGATATCTGTGATCAAATACTAGTAACTTACGAGAACAGCAATGGTCGCAGATTAAAACAAATTCATTGTTTCTTTGCTTTTTCATTGGCTATACACAATTTAATAAGTCTGACAAGAACGAAATTTCATCAAATATTAATGTATTTAGCAATTGCAGTGTTAACTGTTCATTAGTGAGTAACAGGTTGTATGGAAAACATAGTTGTAAAGGAATTTGAATTTAGTGTATACGTCTATGGGAAAGCATTGAAATACAATCAACATATGTAATCTGCAAACATCATCGCTCTTGATTTGCTGATACCTTTTTCAGCAGAATCGACTGCGTTTAAATTCTCATTGTTTTATATTATTTATACCTATAAGGGTTATGGAATTGCATGTGGGAAATAACATTTCAGTATGATAATTAATGGGACATAAAATAAATCCCACTCATATATTTTAATTTACGGTTTTTACGTGAACCATAGTAAAACGAAAAGAAATAGGTGGGACAAACTAATTATTACAAGAGCAGTATATATATATATATACCAGTGGCTGTCAACACTCAGTAGCTAACTAGACAATGCGGTGGCGTTTGAAGCGAACAGTATTGGGTTCGAGTCCCAGAGTGAACATCAACTCTGAGATGCAAGTCCCAAATAGGAGGGAACGTGCGTTCTGGATTCCACATTTAGGCACTATCCATCTTTTATTAACTTTAACTGTTTAGATAATCTTGCAGTCAGAAAGCACAACAGGGTAATTTTACTTAAGACACATTTTTGAACTATCTATTACTCTACATACTTGTTTTCTATTCACTGAAACTTTGATAATTTGATACAATAACTACCGAGTATGGGTTTCAATAGAAATGTTGGAGCATTTTAATATTGAAGTACATCCATGTAGTAATTTAATGATAGCATATATTTAAGCGAAATCATGAAACGACCAATATTAGACCCCTCAACGGTGCTCACCCGAGATCCCTCACGCTGGAATTGGACCCAAGAGCTTCAGTCTCGCGCGAACGACTAACCTCTAGATCATTGAGCCGTGATTCAACAGTGTTAACGTCTAACTTCAATCAATCCACGATATTACACGACTATCTTGCGTTGTCCTTGGTGGGCAATTGCCTCACGCTTGACACGGTTAAACTCCACTAGCCACGGCTTCTCGCTGAAACTCTGTGAACTACCTATCGAAGCTGGTCACTAGTGGGCCCATGGTAACTTTCACCACGGCTGTCCAGTGCTTCCAGGTTCTCAATGGTGATCTAGCATTGATCGACTCATAATCTCAATGAAATTCAACCATCTCCACAAACCCATACTGAAGATAGTATATATAAAATTATTTAATGAAATAAACTTTAAAATATCCTAACCTCATCATTCCCTTTTTATATATTTGTCATGTTTAGAGAGTTATTTATGTAAACACAAACTACAAAAAACCAAAAATGTTTATTTAACGCTGTATATAACATTTAATCTGAATATATCTCCTCCAGTCCTACTGTTTATCTTTCTTCATTAGTAGTCATATCTTACCGCATCATATAAACATAAACATTACGTCACATGCTAAATTTCAAATATATATATGGTCTATATACAAAAAATACACTAAACCGCTGTAAACTTTCAGATGGATGGAGGAAATGAAAGACAAAAATAAAGGATATTTTAAAAAAATAATCTCATTTATCTTTGGAGAAATCCAAGGAGTCAATAATTAAACTTGATAAATAATCGAGACAAAAACAACTAGTATTTACAAAAAATAGACTTGAAGGGTATGTTAAGACCATGAAAGAATAAGAGATTCCACATGTTGCTTGGGCATACAGGGCTAGAACTGGAACTGATATCTCTGCAGCATAAACCATTTTGATTAATCCTACCTAAATTACAACTTAGATTTATGCTAATTATGTTACATTTTGACTTGATCATAGTCTCCTTTAATCACAATATACACTTATTATTATTTGAATCCAAACACTTAACGATATTTAAGACTATCTAGTATATTTTTATAAAACATACATGAAGAATATTAAATAAATGATAATAATTGTCATTATTGGTTACATTCATTTGATTGGATTCATAAACAGATCTATTGACTTTCAAACAAACATATTTTCTCTAGAGTATGATGATCTTAAATTCTATTGGTAAATAAGTGTTTAGTTCATAGGATTTGTATAGTGCCGAAACAAAATGCTACAATTCACCATTACTCCTCTTTATTATATACTATTCCTCTATTATCAGTTTACTGTAAAAAGTGGTCAAATCAAGTAAGTGATATGCACTTTTTATAATATTTGTTGACTATATTAATTTAAACTCTATTTTACTGTTTTTTATTTATTTATTTATTATACAGTTAGTGAAAAGCAGACGGTTAAATGGAACAATTGAATTCCCTTTAGCAGATAAATTTTCAAGATTCACTTTTAGAACTACAATTTTGTATTTAGCCTCTAGAGAAAATGAACCTGGTTTAATGATTGAAGCTGGATTTGAAACAAAATATGTACTGTGCGTTCAATCAATTAAATGTCCAGCACCAATCATGACAACTACCACAGAACCTATTACAACAACCACACCATTGACGACAATAACAACAATATCAACAGTTTTAAACAATTCAGATAATCTATCTATCTTATCATCATCTAATTCACAGAGTCGTGCTGCTAACAATTTATTTGGCAATAGAAATAATGAACGTAGTGGTTCTGCATTTTGGGATGCACTTTTATCTGGAACTGAACCGAAAGATTGGTTTCTTGCAACCGTTTCTTTGGCTTGTCTATGTCTGGTACTCATAATCGTACTTATTATAACATGGTTGTATATATGTCGCATCCGTAGGCTGTATAGTCGAAGGCGTTGCCAAGGTACATGTCGTTTTGGATGTCGTTGTCCACCGGAGGTTGTTCGTCAAATGGCCGCAGAGGCAGCGGTATGTGGCCCTTTAGGGCTACAGACGCACCAGCCATTTATAAATACAATGTCACCACATGGAAATGGTTCTGTCAAAAGTGGAAGTGGGTATGGGAATACATTATATACGGGTGGGACACTGAATTCAGGTGGATGGGGTTCAAATGGCAACAAGATTGGTTCCCCACTTTATGTGGCTTTAAGTTCTGGGGTTGATAAAGCGACTTTATTAAGTGCTGGATGTAATACACCTAACTGCATGCTTGAGATGTCTGGAGGTTTACAACTAACTAACACAGTAGATGGAAGTAGTGGAACTTGGAATCAAACAAATGGAAAATTTCGAAATCCTCGTCTTCGACCAAAACGCTCAACACAGGACGCTTTAAGACGAAGTACAAGTGAAGGTTCTAGTGTTTCAGGTGTTACTGGGACCGTAGGTGCTAATAATAATACTACAGGAATAGAACAAGGTAATTTTGTTTATCGTCCTGGACCGGTGGTTAGTTTTTCCGAAGCAACAATTTCAAATATTATACCTGCTATGGTTGTAAGTAACACTAATGCAGGTCAACATGGAACTGAATCAACAACAACTGTCTATCTTCAAACTTGTCCAAATGGATATAATTATTCAGATAGTGGTAGAGGCAGTGGTATCAGTCCAGGCTATTCACATTCACCGACACATGTGAATAATCGAAAAGTTAACGATGGAACATATTTCAATAATAGTAACAATAATAATGTTACTAACGCCAATAATAATAATCAAAACAATCTTCAAAATGGTTTCGTTAATTCCAATAGTCCAATAAATATGGATGATGTTGAAAGCAGATGTGATATGAATTATTTAGGCAATCAAGCAAATAAAATTTTATCCAGTTTACAATCGGATCATTGTACGAACTTCAATGGTTTTAGTTCAGGTACTTTTAAATTTATCTGATATATATAAATATATAATCATATTTGCACTTGTTATGTTGTGCGGTTTTATATATTTTGTCTAAAGATTAGTAATAACTTGAAAAGAACCTACTTTAAGTGTATACATTCATTCTAGATATACTATAGCTTTGGATTGGTCCCATTAATACTTATGCTCCATGTTTTACAGTTGTTTTCTACCACACCTACAACTCCACTTTTATCTATTGCAAACATCCTTTTTGAGGCTTCTTAGACTGTGTGTTTTAGTTGTGAATTATTGTAAATTTATCGACATCAAATGGGCACTCAGTAATATTATATCAACCCAGAAGTTTTCAGTTACCGAATGTAAATACAAAGCTGTTATCAAACTCTTTTGTTAGAGCATTTGTAACTTTCGTAATTAACTTACTAAACTACTTCACTTACTAAGTATTGACACACATCATAACTGAGGGAACATATAACATTTAGAGGGAGTAAATAGATATATGCTTATAATATAGACTTTTTCACATCTAATTATTTTCCCATATCTATAAATATAAAAAAAATTAAACATATTTAACATAGGAACTTACAAATTCCCATTGTAGACACTTTACTTTCTGGATAAAAGTTGCATGAATCAATTTAATTCTGTCGTCCATTTGAAAATGGAGATATTTTGTTGTTGTGGCTTATGTAGATTATTGTACACATGTGTTCGTGTGATCGTATGTACATATGCCTATTAGCTTATGATTAGTTCACTATGTATATTATCTAAGACAAAGATCATATTAGTTACATTGTTAACCTGTAGCGATAAGCAATAATGATTTATTTATTATTCCCGGTTTAAGCGTTCAAGTATAGTCTCGTGTTCATTTATCCATAGATAGTGAAAGTGATAAGGTTTTTAGTCATAAAAAATTTTCTTCCCATTAATAATTAGATTACATGATATAGCTTTAACAATCAAACATATTTGTTACATAAAAAGATGATTAGAATTAAAAGCTGTCGATGGACTGCACGTTTGTACAAATATATATTTTAATAGTTGAATTAATGAGTCAATTGAAGCTAGACCACCATGGAAAACCTGGAAGCACTGGACGGCGTTTCATCCTATTATGGAATCCCTCACCGGTGCGTATCCAGGACCTTCGATCTTGCGCGTGAACGCTTAACATCTAGGCCACTGAGCCGTCCGGCATCCAATGGTATTAATGTCTAACTTCAGCCAATCCACGAATATATATGTTTGGCCACTGAGTTGTATTCAGTTTTGTTTATCAATATATGAAACCACTTAAATGCTAGTGATGTTGTTTATCAGGAATCTTGAAGAAAATCGAATAAGGAGCACCATGAATATATACATATGCAATTGTGTTTTTTTAATAAAGGGGGTGGAATGAATATTTGTTACATGAATACACTCGTTGTGATTTATTGCACTCCATTCTAAACTAGAACTCCAAAGTTGACTTCAGCTACATCAATTAGGGATGTAAAGTATCATATTTAACTAGTACATTATATATTAAACAAATATGACATTAGTTATTTTTTATCAACCAATCAACTGTGAATATCTCAGTCTCCCAGGAATTCAACTATTATCCGAATGACTTAACGGTGATACATCTGACTCGACTGCTGGGTGACACAAATTCGAATCATCCGAGAATCATTAGTTTCCACGAAACTGTAAATATGCCTTACTGATTAGTGTCAAGCAGAATGAAGCCTAGATCCAAAATTTCTTCCTCATAGCTTCCGGAAACCTAATATCCTAACTTAATGTATATATATACGTTTTGAAAAAACTGTCAATATTTTTAAATTGAAAAAAGCTTACTGGAAAAAATGAAGTTGAAAAGTTTATTTCCAAGAATGAAATTAGAATAGTTTGAAACAAAAGACCCCGACATTTATGATTAGAACTAGTCATCAGTATAAACTATGTTAGTAAGTCATTGATTAATGGAAACTATTAAAACCCAGATAGTATTAAACATTCATCTCTTTTAAGTTTATGGCTTCTAAACAACGAAAACTATTGATATCTTAACAAATTGAACCATGTAACTGTGGACGTTTTTGATACACATGTTATCAGGACACTAACTACCGGTTTGTAGTTATAGATTTCACTTTTCCGACTTTCATTAACTGACCGTACATCACAGGTATCATGTTATTTTTCGCTGTGGATTGACCTCAGATCAAAAATAGTTTATTGCTTTTCCATATCACTAATCTGAAGAAGTTAGAAGTGTAGACCAATAAATTATAACTCGGTGGTACGAAGGTAATGCACCCACTTCGTGACCTGAGAGATGTTGATTTCAATCTATGTAGGGTTGTGAGTGGAAATTTATCAGTAGCTGTAAACTGTAATGAAACACTTCTTCAGTACTCTTTGGTTTTTGCGTGTTCTTCATCTGAATTCATTTAGTAACGAAAACAATCTCATAACTGAGATAACCTGATTAAATTGCAATTAATTGGGGAAGCTTTCTGGCTTATCTAGGTTGATAAATATAATCACGATGTCTTTAAAAAAATCTAGTTGTCAACTATTTTTCATGAATTTAGGCTGGTACTATATAAAGGGAGTTCCTTTTGAAACTGAATATAAATCCACTAATTTTAGTCTTAATATTTCCCACGCTACTGGTTGCAAGATTGAGCTTATTTGATTACATAACTAGATATAGAGTCAAACCACTGGTCACTGGTGTTTATGCAATATCTGTAATTAAACTTCATTACAAACCGTAGAAAAACCTGATTTATAAGCAGTGGAATATTGTAAAACATTGTTATGTTAACAATAAAACCACTGTCACATCCTAAGCCAATGAACATTAAAATCTTCATGCTAAAGAACGTCCAGTTGAATGAATAATTAGAGACATTAAAGTAAAGAACTGTTAAAACTTGAAAAACGTGATCAATGGAATTGTTTTTCTCTGAACAGTCTTTTATAATAAGAAAGAAACTTTATCATTTTCTTCTTGCACGAATAGTACTTATTTTGAATGAATAAGGAGAATTAATGAATAGTAATATTATTATGAACTCATTATTCTTAGTTATATTTTTCATTTGAGAGTTCAAAACTATGGAAACGGGTTTATTAATTTATGGAAACCTTGATGTTTGATGTCGTTGGATCAGTTTAGATTCTTCTGCCTCAGTAATAATTTATTGATTATTTATATATATATCATGACATTTTGAATTATCTCAAATTAACTTGACCCTAATCTTTATCATATACTATTCCAAAAGCAAATTAAAATACATTAAACAACATTCGATTAATATCAGAAGGGGTTTTTGTGGAGACTGTAGTAATTTCAACAGTGAGATGAGTCAATTGAAGCTAGACCATCATAGGAAACCTGGAAGCACTCGACGGCCGTTTCGTCCCATTGTGGTACTCTTCAGCAGTGCAAATCCACGACTCCGCCTCGCGAGATTCGAATCCAGGACACATCAGTCTCGCGCCAGATGCTTAACCAACTAGACCACTGAACCGGCATCCAACGGTAATAATGTCCACGAAATTGAGCGACACATCCACCATTGTTTCACAATAGGAGAAAACGGCCGTTCAGTGCTTCCAGGTTTTCCATGGTGGTTTAACTCCAATTGACTCACGATCTCAACTATTGAAGTTACCACAAAAACCCCATCTGATACTAATCAACATATACTCACTAATGACCGCCTGCAAGAGGTATATCCTGGAGTTCTAGTGACAAGCAGTGACCAGTGGACGTCAACCGGGTCAGTTGTGAGATAGTAACTCACTGATGACAATGGTGATGTGTCGCTCAATTTCGTGGATTGGTCGAAGTTAGACATTAACACCGTTGGACGCCGGCCAGCTCAGTGGTCCAGTTGGTTAGGCACCTGGCGCGAGGCTGATATGTCCTGGGTTCGAATCTCGCCAGGCGGAGTTGTGGATGCGCACTGCCGAGGAGTCCCACAATGGGACGAAACGGCCATCCAGTTCTTTCAGGTTTTCCATGATGGTCTTGCTTCAATGGACTCATGATCTCAACTGTTGAAACAATCGATTAAATGTAATTAAATTTCTTACTACTGTTAGCGTTCCACTTTAACTTCACGAGATTACAGAAAACAGTCTACTTACATTATCTTCATTGGCGGAAAAATGAAAACTCTTAAACATATATATGCACTTATCAGTATTATTCTATCAAGCCCTTACTTTAAAAGACGAATAAAAGAAGTATTAAATGATTTCTAGTGATTTGTGAAACTTTAATTTCGTTTTGTAATATCTAAAAATTATGAAACAAATACGAAATCATACTTGTTAGTTTGAATTGACTAGGAATACTTTGGATAGTTTTATTAATGACTATTTATGTAGGGCATACAGTTGAATTGGTTAAATGGAGGTAGGTAAGTTATATTTTAGAAAAAATTATTCAGTTAAAGAATGCCTTTCATGATATACTGATCTCATTTCGAAAACCATTTAGAGTTAGGGAGAGCTGAACAGATATCTGATTCAGCATTAATCATTCTGAACAATTCACAACGACGAGTTCATAGTAGATCGAACGCCGACTTTGATAGGTAAAATCTAGTTGATACTGAAGACTTGGTAAGTTGTTTGCTAGATAAAGTCAGATAATTCTAAGATTATAATGATTATGAAAGATGGTTTTTTGATTGTTTCAATAAAAATAGCCCCATCAGAAGCAAAACAATCCATAACTGTAAGTCATATTACATATCAGGTTCTCTTCTCGACATTTTGTTTGGATCTTCATTTTATGTTAGTAAGGCAAATAAAAGAGTTCATGAATAAACCATTTTAACCAGATAGTGACATCAACACAACGTACAAATAAGCTCATAAATTCTCTGGTATTTATTCTTGTCTAATTTGTTTAACAAGTAAAACATGTGGTCGTCATACAGCTGAGATTTTTGACAATATTATAAGTATATATTATCGACAATGTGACTCGATAACCAGGAACATACGTTTGTCTATCTATCTTTGAGTCATGAGTTTCAGCCAGAAGCTGATGATCCAGTATCTCTATTCAAACAAACACAGACAGAGCAGGGTTCAAACTTGTAGCTCAGTGGTTTTATAGAGTAATGATTTCATCGTTAAATCATTCCTGTTTATTTACTATTAAGTATACTTTCATATTATGTCATAACCTTTTTTAAATATATATTCAGATCCTCACAACATAGCAATGCATCATTTAAATCGTGATTCTGAAGGGGATTTTGTAAATATCACACCACCATCAGGATTTTATGATTTTAATAACAATACCAATAATAATAATAGTAACGATGTAATTGTAAATTCTGATTCTGGTTATTTGGGAAATTCATCTCGTCAGCAATCACAGACTTTTCATCAAAATCGTTTGATAACTAGTCCAAATAGTTTTGGACGACAATTATTCAATCAACTATCTCCATCAATTGTAGTACCACCGTCACAGTCATTTATTAATTCTTCTTGTATCAATGACAGTATTACAACTACATCTTCTTTATATCCATCCAGTCAGGCAGAATGGCATAATACTACTTTATCACTTAACAAGTTTAATTTACAAAATGGTGAAATGATCGGTAGTCTGGATGATGAATATGTCAATGGTTATTCAACAGAAGTTAGTAATACAGGAACTGCATCTAGAATGCGCAAATATATTACACCTAATTATAATAATAGTAATGGTGGCAGTGGAACACGACCGTTAGTTTCACGTCCCCAGTTCTCAGATTCTTTACATTCTGGAGTTAACTATCATCAAAATTCATATGCAAATGAAAGCAATTCTATGACAATCAATAATAGATCTTTGCATAATTCAAATGATGCTACAACTCCTAATGGAATATTATCACCACCGAAAATTGATCATATATTTACTACACTTACATCAGAACGTATGTTGTAAATGGAACACTTTTAGATGTGTGTTTTTTTAAAAAGAAACCCAATTGATTATTAGGACTTCAGTTGTTTTCCAGTGATAATCTTTTATTTAAAAGTGTATTTTGTTTGTTTTGCAAAACAAATGTGCTTTTCATTACATCCGAAATAAAAGGCAGTCATTTTTTTTGTACACAATATTGGTTATCATTTTCATACTTGAATATTGAACACTTTTAAATTGTTGCAAAAAATAAACAAACAAACAAAGGAATCCTATTCAGTAGTAGGTTTAAACCCTATAAGAAAAAATCCTGTTCTTTTGTTCTTCTTCAATCAATTGATAATGTTTATCATGATTCGGTTTCTTTTTTCTTAAAACAGTTGTATTAGCGATGATTTTGATGGATAAGTAGGATATTTGGATAAATTTTTAGGTTTTTTTTCGGTTCTTTGGATCTATGCGATATTCTTTTTCTGTATGCATATATAATACTAACGCTAGATATTATTAATACTAAATGAACTTCATACGATTGTACAGTTCGTGTTTATAAAATATTTATTGATTTAAATGGTGTTCTTACAACTTGTTTCCTTTTTATATATCTCTATAATTATGTACATGAGTAAATGATTTATATATATATATATATATATATATATATATATATATATATATATATATATATGTACTATCCTATACAGGAATATTTCATTTCTAAACGTTTATTTAGATTAACAATATATTAAATATATGTACTTTGAATACATTTAGAGTATTCATTTAATGAACTCTTTTGCATTTATGAATGTTTAGTGTTTTCTTTTTTGCTATGCTTCTTTTTGTTGAAGGTGAAAGATAAATCAATTTCCGAACTATTATTTCATCATTTTATTCACACATTGTTCTATTCAATTACTTATTGAATACACATAAAATTGAGAAGAAAAATAACCTGTACATTGATGAATATAGTCAATGTCATAAATAACTAGAAAATTCAATTTAAGATCACTTTTCATTATTTAAAAAAGAGGACACAAAAAACAAGAAAATATTAGAAAATCACTTTCTTTTTCTTTTAAAATTATCCTTGTTTGATTGTTCAGTTTTCGTTATGATCATTTTGTTTACTTGTTTCATTGATTTGTTTATTTAAAGTATCTTTTATGAAACAAATTAGCGAGTTTTTTGTGGTTAGAATAAACTATTTTGCGTTTGTTAGGTTTACTTATGAAGAACAGTGAAAGTTTGTTCACATACGAGTGTTTGTGTATGTGCAGACTTATGTGTTTATACATTTAGCACTGGCTACATTTTCAATTTTTCAAATATCTATCTATATATACATATATATATATCCAAAATAATAACAACATTTGAGTACGTATATGAATGACTTAATTTAGATAAACAATAATTGGCTTTAATTTTTTTTGTTTTATTCACTTTTCTTGGCCGTTATTTATTAATGGTATTGATCAGGATTTCCTTCTTACAAGGAAATAATTAATGAAAAATTGAACTGATGAATTTTAATGTTCAGTCATATCAGTAATTATTATCAGAATGGTGGTTTGTGGAGATTGCACATGATCATAATTCAATTGAAGTTATGCATTAACACCTTTGGATGCCGGCTTAGTGTCTGGAGGTTGGGCGTTTGCACAGGAGACTGAAGCTCCTGGGTTCGAGTCCTGTATGCGGGATTGTGGACGCGCACTGCTGAGGAGTTTCATGCTAGGACGAAACGGCAGTCCGATGCTTCCATATTTTTAATAGTGGTTAGCTCAGATTGACTCATGAATTCAACTATTAACATATTAGTAATTATTGATAATTTCGAATAGTTGTCTTCATTACTAATGAAAGTTAAGATATTTAGTAGTGATGAAATATTCCCAATAAAATGACTACTATTTTTGTCAGTATAACAATAGTCATTAGTGGATCTTTCGGTTGTGAATCTAATGCGTTAAAACAAATTTTTTAACTTCTGAAATACTCTAGTTGGTTCTACAAACTGATGTTTTAAACTTAAGTTCTATAGTAAAGCAGTTATTTAGCGATTATTCAGTAGATATGAACAGTATTAAGACAACAATCTTGTGATTAGTAAGCATATTTTAGCGAATATAAAATGAGTGGCACTTTTTCCATAATGAAAATTTATATGAGCTAAATTAGTCACTGATCATGATTAATTTAGAATCTCTTTGTAATACATCAACCATCCTATCTTGGCTGTAAGGCATTTAAAATGTTGAAAAAATTGATTGCAGTATTCAACTGATAGCTACTGATTATTTATAGTTAATCTCATTTTGTCACCTGAAGGTTTATGAACTTCGTAAAGACAATGTACCGGTTAATAGTATGGTTTATATGTGTATGGATATGTAAAGGGTATGCGCGTGGGTTAGCATAAGAAACATAAGCTGAAAAAATGTCTACCTTATGTCTAAAAATATCAGTGGCCTAACCTTTCAGGCCAAAGATAGGGTAGGAAATACGGGCTACAGGTGACTATCAATACTCCCTGTCAGAGTGCTTATACATATGTTCATGCCATGAATTGCATGAACGAAAGTTTTTACCAGTGATATGCATGCAATGCGTAAGAGATAGTTAGAGGTAGTAAGTACATTTGAAGGGAACAGTGACCATTTACCATCCCAGGTGGGTGAGTATGCCTATGTGTATATAAAGTGATGCATAGGTGAAAAACTGTTTCCAGTATCCATTTAGATTATACTTGCCCCTGGTTCGACGCCTGCACACCAATACGCAGGGATTCCAACGATTTCCCCACGAAATCACGTCTACGAGGTGGGTTTGTGAACCTCGGAAAGCGGATTTTAATCCAGATAAGTCAATCGGCTTTATCGAGTGAGACTTCACTAACCTCAAATGACTGTGACATCGTACTGTTTAAACAATCGTACTTTCATATTTTTGAGTCAATCGATCACCAACGGATTAAAATCGCTTATAAATAGATTTTTAATGATATTAATCACCAAAGACATCGATGAGAAAATATTTTGTATTACCTTAACATGGACGTCTCAACTGTCAACTGACCATATGAGTGCCTATTTATATGCCAGGGCACGCTTGGATGCCTTCTTTATGTACTACCTTTATGATACCCTATAACTTCGGCAAATGACAACATAGATTTATTCAAGTGTATCCTTCACTAAATGCTTAGCTTCTGATAATCCATATTTTTATTAACCGGCATCATATATAAATCTGATCCACGAGAGTGAACAGTTAAAACACGTGTTCTAGAAATAGAAAATATCGTTGTCATTTACTGTAACACGTTTTCGTACTTTTCACAAGTGGAAATGCCCCATATTAAAATCCAAAACATCTTATTATACTTTTGCTTTAGGAACTACTCTTTATTTAAAGTTACCAAAGTTATAGCAAAATATATATTTCAGTAAATATGCGTTAGTAACGAGGATATTCATTACGAAAAAGACCGCCAGAACTTTCACAAGTTTATTTTTTATTATTCAAATGTAAACATACAAGTATTTACTTTGTTTATATCAACACATTGAAAAACAAACGGTGACAGTATCATATTCCATAACTAAATAATTGCCGATAGTTTGTCTTAGTACTTAGTGAATTTATTTTGAAAACTTAATTTATTATTATTTTTTTAGAAAAAAAGTGTGAATCATCAGACCATACCTAGAAAATACTACCCCGGACTACATGAATTTTACATATTTTATATTTATAAGTAGGACATGATGTATTATTTCTAGGTAGTCGTTTGTAAAGAAAAAAAATCGTATGGAAAATAGTCATATATAACTGATGTATTTGTATAAAACCATGTTTTATATCATATAAACATTGATTTTACATTAATTTCTCAAATCTAATCTTTTATATTTCGGTATTTATAATATTTAAGCGATTGGATTACTGTAATGTTTGAATGTAAATCTTTAGAATCATTATATTTGCTATGGTTGGTACATTTACTCTTGACAGTTAATTCATTTATCATTAAACAACCTTGTTAAATTGATTTTTTCATTTAGACAAAGTAATTCAGGGACTTGTGAAATATAAGTTAGAACGGTACAATTTATACAGAATTCGAACCCAGAACCTACTGGTTTCGCGCGCGAGCACTTAACCACTAGATCGCTGAGCCGGCATCCAATGGTGTTAATGTCTAACTTCAACCAATCCACGAATTTGCGCCACCGTACATCATTGTCTCCAATGAGTTGATATCTCACAACCGACCTGGTTGAACTCCACTCGTAAAGGCTTCTCACTAGAACTCCAGGAGTATCTCTTGAAGTCGGTCACTAGTGAGCAGATGATTATTATCATAAGGGACTTTGTGGAGATTTTAGTTGAAATCATGAGTCAATTGAAGCTAGACTTGTTTAAATATAAAAGGATATTGTCATATATAATATTACAGAAATAACTCTTATGTTAACAGAAATTATCTATCATAATGAAGTAAGGATTTTATGAAACCTAACTGATTCAAGCTGATTTATTCAAACGGTTATTAACGCAAATGTAAAAGTTGATAAACTCAATATTTAATTAAAATAAAACAATTTTCGTTATTAATTAGACGAAATTACCGATTAAGTTATTGTAGAATATAATCAGATAGTCTCGGACAGTGATTACTTTCTGGTTAGTACTCATTAACATAATGTGTTGGGAATCACTTTTACATTACTGCTATCCAGTTAATCAGGCGTCAGCTGAGTTGATATGTAACTTAAATATTTAGTTTAATCGGCAATATAATAGTATCATATTAGTTTCTGAGCAATGATCATATTCTGTGAATCAAACTACCAACCAATTGGTTACAGTCATCATGATCTTAATCTTTAACATAGTGACCACATTGAAAATCTAGTTAATGGAATATAATTAGTACTAAGAAATAGACAAATATGGGATTGATTATTTGTCAAATATTTATATAAGTATTGTTTATTATATTTGATTAA